TGCCCCAAGGCTAAGCTGGGACTGGGGCCAGACCAAGCTTTTCTCTCACCATGCTCCAACAGACCTTTCCTACTGACTTTCTAAGTTGTCTTTGGTGTTTGTGGATTGAGAAGTCTAGAAACTGCCATAGCTCTCCTTGATTCAGTCCCCTGAGGCCTACTCCAGGTTCGCTGAGGCCTGGTCTTTGCTTGTGCAGCCCATGCTTAAACTATACTCCTCTCCTAGCCTGGCACAACAGACCTTTCCTGCTGACCTTCCAGGTTGTCTTGGGCTAGAAATGTGTTTCACTCTTTCTCTTTGTGGGTTCTACTGCTGTAGACTTTGTTTAGAGCCATTTTTTACAGGTATTTGGAGGGGTCTGGGGAGAGTTCAAGCAAGTCACTGTCTACTTCTGATTTTTTAAGGAGTATTTTTCTTCAGTATGTGCTTCCTTTGCTAAGCTGTTGATTCTCTTTTCAAATTTTTTTTGCATTGCTTTTATTATTTCTTCTCCTAATTTTTCCTCTACTAACTTATTTGATTTTTAATATCTTTTTTTGTTCCTTTTCATCTCTTTTTTAGCTCCTCTTAGAATTCTTGTTGGTCTTGAGGGCAGAGCCAAGATGGCAGCGTGAAAGCAGTGACTTGCTTGAGCTCTCCCCCAAACCCCTCCAAATACCCATAAAAAAATGGCTCTAAACAAATTCTAAAGCAGCAGAGCCCACAAAAAGACAGAGTAAAACAATTTTCGAGCCCAAGACAGCCCCGATGGTTGATCAGAATGGCATATTGCGTCGGGTGGGGAGAGAAGTGCAGTTTGGCATGACCACGCAGGCCACAGCAAACCTAGAGCAGGTCTCAGAGGACTGAATCACGGGCAGCTGTGGTAGCTTCCAGACTCCTCAAACCACGAATGCTAAAGACAGCTTAGAAGGTCAGTGGGAAAAGTCTGTTTTTGCAGTGAGAGAAGAGCTAGATCAGAGCCAGTTGCAGAGCGCAGAGTGCAGAGCCCGGGTGGCGGGTGGTGGCTGTGTCCTGAGCTTCCAGCCCACAGACTGAGGGGGAATCAAGTGGCTGATCAGAAGGGGACTGCAGGGATCTCTTTGCTGGTGCTGAGGCAGGAATCTCTTGCTTTGCCCGTGCTTGGATCTGGGTCATAGTTCTGGGTGGCGGTTCTGGGGTGAGTAGGAACACTGGCACAGTGGTGATTGTAGTGGCTGTGGATAAGAAACCCTCCTCACAGTTCCAAGAGAGAAAAGACTCTTGTGGCAGTCACTCAAAGACCAGAGCTCAGGCCAGGAAAAGAGTAAACACCTCGACCTTATCATACCACCTTGGAAGAACTGAAAATTTACAGTTCCCTAGAAGTATCTCTGAAAACAGCTATACAAACCCCCAAAGCTTGGGACAGTACATTCCCCATACTGGAAGCATATTTTTACCTTAACAAAGAGTTTAAAACTCAAGTAGTTGGCTGGGATCATGCAAGAGCAAACCTTCAAAAAGAGTCAGACTTTGGTGAAAAAGAAGATCAAAACATACAACCAGAAGAAGAAACAAAGTCAAAGCTCCCATCCAAAGCCTCCAAGAAAAATATGAATCATCCCAGGCCTTGGAAGAGCTCAAAAGGGATTTTGAGAAGCAAGTAAGAGAAGTAGAGGAAAAACTGGGAAGAGAAATGAAAGTGATGCAAGAAAATCATGAAAAACAAGTCAACAGCTTGCTAAAGGAGACCCAAAAGAATACTGAAGAAAATAACACCTTAAAAAATAGCCTAACCCAAATGGCAAAACAGGTCCAAAAAGCCAAGGAGGAGAAGAATGCCTAAAAAGAAAATTGGCCAAATGGAAAAGGAAGTCCAAAAGCTTACTGAAGAAAATACTTCTTAAAAATTAGAATAGAGCAATTGAAGAGTGACTTTATGAGAAATCAAGACACTGTAAAACAAATCCAAAAGAATGAAAAATTAGAAAACAATGTGAAATATCTCATTGGAAAAACAACTGACCTGGAAAAGATCCAGGAGAGAGAATTTAAAAATTATTGGACTATCTGAAAGCCATGATCAAAAAAAGAGCCTAGACATCATCTTTCAAGAAATTATCAAGGAAAACTGCCCTGATATTTTAGAACCAGAGGGCAAAATAGAAATTGAAAGAATCCACAATCTCCCCTGAAAGAGATCCCCAAAGGAAAACTCCTAGGAATATTGTAGCCAAATTCCAGAGTTCCCAGGTCAAGGAGAAAATATTGCAAGCAGCCAGAAAGAAACAATTCAAGTACTGTGGAAACACAATCAGGATAACACAAGATTTAGCAGCTTCTACATTAAGGGACCAGAGGACATGGAATATAATATTCCGGAAGGTAAAGGAGATAGGATTACAACCAAGAATCACCTACCCAGCAAAACTGAGTATAATCCTTCAGGGGAAAAAATGGTCATTCAGTGAAATAGAGGACTTTCAAGCATTCTTGATGAAAAGACCAGAGCTGAATAGAAAATTTGACTTTCAAATACAAGACTCAAGTGGAACATGAAGAGGTAAACAGGAAAGAGAAATCATAAGAGACTTATTAAGGCTGAACTGTTTACATTCCTGCATGGAAAGATGATATTTATAACTCATGAGACCTTTGTCAGTATTAGGGTAGTTGGAGGAAAAAAATTATATGTATGTATATAGATAGATAGATAGATAGATAGATAGATAGATAGATAGATAGATAGCACAGGGTGAAGTGAAGATGAAGGGGTGATATCTGGAGATTAAAGTTAAGGGGTGAGTGAGGATTATACTAGGAGAAGGAGAAAGGGAGAGGTAGAATGGGGTACATTATCTTGCACAAAACAGGCAAGAAAAGGTTCTTACAGTGGAGGGGAAACAGGGGAAGGTGAGAGGAAATGAGGGAATCTTATTCTCATAGGATTTGGCTTAAGGAGGGAATAACATACACACTCAATTGGGTATGGAAATCTGTCTTACCCTACAGGAAAATAGGGGAGGAAGGGGACAAGAGAGCAGGGGGATGATAGAGAGAAGGGCAGATTGCGAAAAGGGTAATCAGAACGAAGTACTTCTGAGGAGGGACAGGGTCAAAAGAAAGAATAGAATAAATGGGGGGGGCAGGATAGGATTAAGGGAAATAGAGTTAGTTTTTCACAACATGACCACTATGGAAGTGTTTTGCAGAACTGCACAAGTATGGCCTGTATTGACTTGCTTGCCTTTTCAATGAGGTTGGGTAGGGTGGGAGGAAGGGAGAAAATTTGGAACCCAAAGTTTTAAAAACACATGTTTAAAAAAAATGTTTCCACATGCAACTGGGAAATAAGAAACACAGGAAATGAGGTATAGAAATCTATCCTGCCCTATAAGAAAATAGAAGGGAAAGGGAATAAGAGAAGGCGGGGGGGAGAGACAGAAGGGAGGGAAGACTAGGGGAAGGGGTATTCAGAATGCATGCCATCTTGGGGTGGGGGAGGGGCAAGATGGGGTGAAAATATGGAATTCAAAATCTTGTGGAAGTAAATGTTCAAAACTAAAAATAAATAAATTTTTATATATGTATAAAAGAATTCTTGTTGGTCTTGTGTCCAATCAGCATTTTATTTTGAAGCTTTGCTTCAATTCTCATTGTCTTCTTCTGAGTTTTTGTCTTGAGCGTTTCTGTCATCTTAGAAGGTTTGTATGATCAGGGTTTTCTTTGCTCACTTTTCCAACCTATTTCTTGACTTTGGACTTTATGTTAGAGTTGCACTATACTCACCTCTGGGTGTGGGAGTATGTCTGACCTGAGTCTTCTGATTTTTATGTCCTGTTACTTTCTCAGCTAGATCTGAGAGCTTGTAAGTTTTTGGTACATTCAAATTGTTGTTTTCTGGGAACAGGTCTGGTCATTGGCCTCTTTTTCTGTGTTATGGTCCTTACCTTGGTAGGGACCCTTACTCCTTTGCAATTTGACTAGCTGTTGTCTACCTGTAACTGTGACTCAGAACTAGATAATTAGAAACAGAGTTGTCAAATGGTACCTGGTCCTGCACCCAGTGCTAACAAAGGGATCCCTTATAAACTCTTTCTGACTAGGTATTTATTCCTATAGCCCCTGGGTAGGTACCAAGTGCTCTTGGTGTTGTTGCTAGGGCTTTTGCCAATCTCCCCTCCCCCCAAGGCCCACAGCTGGTGCTACTTCTTCCATGCCACTCACCCAGCCAGCCCCTACCCCAGTGTCTGTAAACGTCTCTTCATGTCTTTCCAAACTGTCTTGGGCTGGGAAAATCACTCAGTTTAATTTTTATTTCCCACAGATTTGCAATAGGGAAGAAAATTGTTAATTCACAATTCTCTAACCCTTCTGTTAAAGCAATTATCCCAAAGTAAACACTGAATGCATTTATGAGGCAAGCATTTACTTTAGAGTACTAAAAATAATCAGTCGGATTTAGTTGTTGTTTGCCTGTTGTTGTTGTTATTGTTGTTGTTGTTTAGTGACGGTGGTAGTAGGCAGCTGTGGAGGAGCAGAATGAGCCCCGGAATCATGGGTCACAAGATCTGGGTTTGAATCCTGCCTCTCTTATTTATTAGCTGTTAGACTTTGGGCAAGTTTCACCTTTCTGAGTCTGTTTCCCCATCTGCAAAATGATATAATCATTTTTCCATATCTTTTAGAATTGTGAGAATTAAACATGATAGTATCTGTACAGAAAATGCTATAAAGGCCAGCTAGTAATATTATGATTTATATCATTTGCCTGAAGTGAAGCTAAGATTCTCAGCTGAAATTCCCTCACATCATTCACCATCTGTCTTGACTTTAGGGGTTACTTATCATTATAATTCCCCTCCCCCTTTCCTTTCTTCTTTCTCTCATTTCAATCTGCTCTTTGGGCTGTTTACATTTTTCCTGTTTAAAGATTGCTTTGTGGTCATCGCTCTTGGTGGGGCTTTTTCTTTACTTTGAAATATTTGAACTTGGCCACTTCTCCTTTATTCCAGGAAGCAGAGAGCCAGAGGAGTAAATGTAGGATTTGTCGTCATGAGATTATTCCTTCCAGAATAACCCGCACAGCCAACCATCTGTCGCTGTTGTCCCTCTGCACTGACCAGAGGAGAAAGAAATGGAAAACAGCACACAAGGCATCACATGACTCATGTCATTTTGGCAGCCTGACTGACCTTAGCCCTCTTCAAAATTGATCTGAATAGGAACTGTTGAAAATGGGCAAACATTGAAAACTTCACATAAAACGGACTGTGAAGCAATTTGAACTGTTCTCTTGGACATAGAGACCAATGAATTAATAATACTTCTAGATTCCTTGTTTCAGCTTTCCTGACTGTAAGTTAATCTCTATTTCTCCTATTTGTTTTATGTAATGCATAAACTCCTCTTGGTGTAGTGGACATGCCATAAATGCTTGCAAAATGAAGAATAGCATTCATTGAGATCTGTTCAGGGAAATATGGGTGGAAACTATATGTATTAGTGATTCACGTTCCCAAGTGTCTGGGTATTTGATATCATACAGACCAAAATATCTGGAAAAATTATGGAATTTGGGGATTTTTATCCTTCATGTGGAAACATAAATTTGTAGACCATTGAGGACCCAATGGAATATGCTACAGAATGTATTTGAATTTTGTAAATTTAGTCTGAAGTTACTTTTAAGATTCTATTTCATTGCCAACACATTTGCAAAATTTGGATAATTTGTGTATTAACTTTTCCCTTTTTTTTTGTTTTTGCATTTTCTAACTGACTTTAAGAATATTTTTCTGAGCTCGCAAAAGAAAGTTTTTCTATTCAGAGAGTGGAGATAAATATTTTTTGTTGTGCCTGTTTCTCAGTCTCAAATTACAAGACTTTAGAGACCAGAACAGTGTTACTCTTTTGATAAAAGAACCCACTTTGAAAGGGAAATGATTAGGACTATTATTTTTTATTACAGGTTTATTATTTCCAGAAGACATTATTTTCTCTTCATAAGAGTTTAAGTTTCATAGTTTGTTTTTGTTGTTAGTATGATTTAAAAGACTATGGAGTTTTTGCTTAGGAATTTCCATCTGAAAACAAAAAGCAAAAAACCCCCAAACCAAAAAACAAACCCTGCAATATCTATTACAAAAATGAAACAAAACAAAACTGTAATACCTATTGCAATCCTACTAATTAAGTTAATAGGGATCATAGAATCATAAATTAAGAGCTAGAAAGTAGACTTCAGTGATTTAGATGAAGAAATCAAGGCCCAGTGAAAGGATTTGATTTGCCTAGGATCACATAAGTCACAGAGTCAATACTGAAACTCAGGTCTTCTGTCTCCAGAACTTTCATTCTTCATATTGAACCATATTTATTTACACAATAATATTCACATACATACATACATATCTAACCCTTCAGAATTGATGAGGTTTTATTCTCAACCTTTTGCCTGGTTCTCATAAACTGGCTCCAAACTAAGAGGTGTGAAACTGTGTTCAGTATCTTTTATCTAAATAGGTAAGAAAAATTTTAAACATTTAAAGTAAAATGAACCAATATATTTGTAATTACTTTATGAATAAGCTGCTTTTTAAAATCAAGTAAACCAGAAATAGAATTCTTATGAGCAACGCATATATATCTTTATGTTCTAAACTCTATGGAGGGTCACAATGGCATAGTGAATAGTGGACAGGTCTTTGTTCTGCCTCTGACACGTGTTACTTGTGTGACCAATTAACCTCCCCTTGCTCCCAGGCACACTGACATTGTGTGTTGTAATAGATCAATTCCGCTTATATGCATGGGCACAGAAGGTTTACAAACCAAGAGGTCTCCATATGGATGAAATCACAGATCCAAGTTGCTTTTTTTAAATATTGTTTTATCATTTAAAGAAGAAAGAATCTCTTATTAGGTCTTTAAATGCAATTTTGTGAAAATTTCAATTTTTCAAAAAATGTCAATCATTTTCTTCTTTTTCTTCTCTACCACCAAAAATTATTTTCTAATTGCTCCAGATTAATAATGTCAGTCGGTATGCATTTCTTAAGCACTATGTGTCAGGTGTGCTAAGATCAGAGGATACAAAGAAAGTCAAAAGACAGACTGCTCTCCAGGTGATCACTGTCTAATATGGAGATACCATACAAACAACTATATACAAACAAGCTATGTGTAGGATAAATTACAGATAATCAACAGAAGGAAGGCACTGAGCTGTGGCCTTGAGGCCACATGTGGCCATCTAGGTCCTCAAATGTGGCTTTTTGACTGAATCCAAACTTCACGGAACAAATCCTCATAATAAAAGGATTTGTTCTGTAAAACTTGGACTTAGTAAAAAGGCTGCACTCAAGGATCTAAAAGGCCACATGTGGCCTTGAGGCCACAGCTTCCTCACTCCTGCTAGAATTAAGGGACATCAGGAAAGGTTTCCTGTGGAATATAGGATTTTAGCTAGAGGTTTAAAGTGTAAGAAGACTAGATAGGTGTGGAAGGGAAGGAACATGCTATGAAGTTCTTTGAATGACCAACAGAATATTTTATTTGATTTTGAAAGTGATAGAGAGCCACTGGAGTTCATTGAGTTGAGGTGGGAAGGAATGACACAGTCAAATGGTTTAGGAAAATCACTTTGACAACAAAATGGAGGATAGGATGGAATTGAGAGTGATTTGTGGCAGGCAGACCAATGCAATGGTTATTGTAACAGTCCAGGCATGAGGTGATGAAGGCCTGCACCAAGGTTGTGTGAGTGTCAGAAGACAGAAGGGGGCACAGTTGAGAGATGTTGGAAAGGTAAAATCCACAGGGCTTGGAAACAGAATGGTTATTGTGCAGTAAGAGAGAATGAGGAGTTTAGCATAACACCTGACTAGGTTGCCAGCCTGGGTTACTGGGAGAATGGGGGTACGTTTAACAATAATAGGAAAGTTAGAAAGAGGTGAGGATTGCAGGGGGGAAAGCAATGGTTTCAGTTTGGGATATGTTGCATTTAAAATGTCTATGGGTCATCCAGTTTGAGATGTCCAGTTGGCTGTTGGAGAAGAAAGACTGGAAATCAATATGGAGATATGATGCATGATATGGAAGGTAACCAACACTGTTCAATGGGAGAACTCAAGATATTCTGCTCAAAAAATGATATTCCTCCAAAGTTTTGTTCCTGCCTACACAGTCCAAATCCCAAGCATTATTGTAGACTGTTCCATGTGATTGGAATAGCCTGATACTTGAGTATAAATAATAAGGTTCAATTCATTTCAACTAGATCCCTAAAATGTTAGCACCCTAAAAATTTAGAAGCATGCATGAGCAGAGTAAAAAATCTTCAAGAGAGATTTCAGACCATGGATCTCTTTAGGGAAGAAACCCCAGGTAGGGGAGGAGCAGGGAGAAACAGAGAACTTGGGACATTTTGAGGTTGCTTCTGGGGAGGCCAGTGATAGGGGAGAGGAAAGGTCAGGGCATGACTTTGGTATCCATCCAAATACATTCCTCTTGTGCATTCTCAGGGGACATGTTGGGAAATATAGCAGATAAGCTCCTTGAGGGTAGAGATTATTTTGTATTTGTCCTGTTTCTAGCCAACCCACACTGTGCCTGCCCCATAGTGTTTAAGAAATGCTTTTTGATTTGATTGATAATGAACTCTTTCAGAGCAAAAAAAAAGTTACTTTATTTTGTACATGGCAGCATTAATTTACTGAAAGGTAAGTTAAGTCTTAAATGTTAGCATTCCACCAACAGTGCCAACTGACTTCCAGGGAAATATCACTAGGTGTTCAGAGAAACACTGGCAGAAAATGTCATTCCTTTGACAATATTCTCTTGTCAGTCGAAATGTCCTTTCTAAGATATATTAAGGGCCTCAAAAAGTAATTTCACTAAACAATTCCTTGAAAGTATTATAAGATAAGATTTTCTTGTTAAAGGGCATGTAATCTGTGAGTAGGTGGGGGATGGTCAAAAAGGAAAGGGTTGATAAAAGGGAAGTTCCCAAACTCATTTTCCCCAAGGGCCCAAGAAGGTACTTTTTTTCATTGTCAATTCTCTCATATTTCCAGGAGAAAAGCATTTATTAAGCCCCTTTAAATGCTAATTTTAGTCACTGTGCTAATTGCTTTACAAATATTATCTCATTTGATCTTCATAACAACCCTTGAGGTAGATGCTATTATTAGTTTCCCTTTACATGTAAGGAAACTGAGGCAGACAGCACTTAAATGATTTACTTGCCCAGGCTCACATAGCTAGTAATTGTCTGAAGTAGGATTTGAACAGACTGGTTTAATTTTGGATTGTGAATGCTAGCAAATGTTCTGGAATAAGGAAAAATTTCAAATTAAAGGTGCCATTGAAAGTCAGGTATTCCTGACTTCAGGCAAAGAGCTCTAGCCACTGTGCCACCTGACTGCCTGTAAATAGCTTACTAGGTGTAAAAAAAAAAGTATCTTTGTAGGTTAGAGCCCATGTGTTCCTGATTGTTAAATCAACTGATTTTAAAAAAGAGAATGATGCAGGAGTGGTGACATTTACTGCCAGTGTTTCTCTCAACATCCAGTGATATTCCCCTGAAGTCAGTTAGCACCATTAGAGAAATGCTAACTTTCAGGACTAACTTACCTTTCAGTAAACCAGTACTGCTATTTATGAAGCAGATGAACTCTTGGCTCTGGAAAATCTAATTGTTGATCAAATCAACAAACATTTCTTCAGTACTTACTGTGTGGTAAGCATAGTACTACTTGGCTAGAAATAGACAAAAAACAAATAATGTTTGCCTTCAAGGAGCTTACCTGCTATATTTTCCAACATTTCTCCAGCGACTGCACAAGAAGAATACATTTGAAAGGATACCAGTGATGATAATTAAACATTTTTCTGTTTGAAAAACAAAACAATCTCCATTTCTCTCTGTCTCTTTCTCTATCTGTCTCTCTCTGCCCCCCCATACACACACGAGTGTGTATATGCCACAACATTTACTATGTTTTCTCTCCTTTTGTAACAAACAGGTCAAAATGATTAAAAGAGAGAGAAGCATTTTCCAGCAAACTCAGGCCCTTCTGTGTATGAACATTATTAAAAAATGGAGGATGAAAAGAGAGAGTTTATTGGTATGATTAAAAGTTCATGTTGTATTTTTTTTTTGCTTAACTACATATTATTATAAGGGTTTTGTTTCTACTTTTTCAATAGGGTGGAAAAGGAGAAGTGGGAGGGAGAAAAATAAATATTTGATCATTGAAAAAATTAAATTTATTTTTTTAAAGCAAAACAAAACAAAAAAACAACAAAGCTATATCTTCACATTTCATAAAGAAAGATGTGCCTCCCAGGCAGCATACATGCATTTCTTCATCCTGTATTGCTATTTATATGCTTATTTTATATTGAAAAGCTAGGCTGGTTTAATTTTGGATTGTGCATGCTTGCCAATGTTCCAGAATAAAGAAAATTTTCAAATTAAAGATGCCATTGAAAAAGACACCTCTCTCTTTAAAAACCTCTCTCTCTTTCTTTTTTAGAATGAAGTAGAAGTAGCACTTCCCCAAATCATCAATTCACAGAAATCACACAAAACCATTCTCTTTAGCTCAAGCTCAGAGTTTCTGGGTCTGCAACAACTAAAACAACAGCCAACCAGAACTTAATGTTTAAATGGCTAAATATATAGCTATTCTCTGCTGCTACCACTCACCAAGGTGCATTATGTTGAACACACTAGTTTGGTTGGAAGGGCTATGAAAATGTTGGTTGGCAGAAATAGAAAAACTAATTTGGGGCATTTCTTTACCCTGATAGAACATTATATTAATCCCAAGACCTGTGTCACTCTGTTGAGTTTCCAAATACCAGGATCTGGTCATCATCATAAAGATATATAGTATTGATTACTTCCTCCCTTGCCTTATGTGTAGGTTTCCTCAGGTCACAATTATGGGAGCAGGGAAAAAGCTGCAGCCAGCAAAGGGCTGGAAGCTGGTACCCAAAACAGAGCATCCCAATACTCCTCAATCCTGTCTGCTCAGAGGTTCATCATTCAGCGCATTTTTTTTTAGTACAACCAAGGAAGACCTCTTCCCTTTCGCTTTTACTTAAATTAGCTGAAATTATGCCTATTATCTCAGTGCTTGGAGAACACATATTTTAAAAGGGCCACCAGGAAGAATGTTGGGAATTGGAAATAAGCAGAACGATTAATAGGTGAACAGGACCCAAGATACCTGAAAAATACTGTTAATATTGACTGTTAGAGGAAGGTGCTTCATAAACTTTAAAATGCTATATAAATTATTACTGTTATTACATTACTATTATTATTATGTATTAGTCTTGCTTTTGATAAACAAACCATATTGTGTCTTCCCAGCTCTTTTTTCCCCCTTCTCTGCCTTCTCTTAAGTGTATCTGCTTATAAATATAAACTTAGTGGAACAAAAATTGTTGCCTATTTCTCAATTAATCATTACAAGTAGCTAGTCCTGAGTCAAGCCACAGCAGGATTAAATAGAAAAGGTGCTTGATGAGAAAGGCCTTCTCAATGACCACATTCTAATTTATTTTTCTCTTGCATTAAATAGGAATGGTTTCTTTCATTGCTTCTATGCCTGCAGCTCTTCCTGTTTGGATTATTTCCTTTAAACTCTCAGGTTTCTGGAGGGCCTCCAGTAGACCTAGGACGCTTAGATAAATTTAATGATTCTGACTTTCTGATTAAATATATGCCAGTCACCAATATCACTCAACAGATAATAGACAAAGTGGCTTCGGCTTCCTTTATGAAAGGTATGTTCACTCAGAGCTAATATTTGGTGTTATTATCCTATTTTATTATAAAGATAAAAATGTTTAATCTGAGATTAAATGTATAGAACAAGTTAACTATTTAGTATTCTAAACGTTATGATACACAAACAAGCTAGACCAAGTTAAAATGAATTGTTTTCTCAGTTTTCTTGTGTCTGATTTCAGAAGGTCCAAGACTACACAGACTTACCCTTTTTCTAAAACTATCAATGGCAAGAGTGGTACAGTTGACTTTAGGTTTCAGATCTTCAAAATAACTCATTCTTGATAAAGCCTGGTTATTGATTTATACATTTTAATAAACACTCCATGTTTCATATCTCTATCTCAAGGGAAAGGGCCTAATTTAAAGGACTCTGTTTCTTTCTGAAATCAGTAAATATAAGGCTCATTCCTTATAGGGGAAGGTGGTTTCAACAGGCCTTCTGCAAAAATTAGAATTTGAGTTCTTTGCTACTCACTGAATGATTGAGAACTTAACTGATATGTAAAGAAAGACAGTGTGGCATAGGAGATAGATGAGTGGCTTTGAGGACAGGAAGGCTTAAGTTCTTGAACTGTGTTAAGTCTCTTAATATACTAGCTGTGTGACCATGGACAGGTAAATCACTTAAATTCTCAGTGCCTCAATCAATTCTCTAAGACTGTGAGCTGCTGATGTTAAGTAATCTGGCCCCAGACTACCTTTTGGGTCTCTCCCTAAAACAATCTACACTGCAGCCAAAATGGCCTGCCTCTTATTCCCCATATATAATAGTCCATCTCCCATCTCCATTGCCGGTGACTGGAATGCTTTTATTCTCACTTCCACTTCATAGAACCTCTAGTTTACAACCCTAAGAAGCTCTACTTCTTAGAACCCCTAGAAGAACCTTCTAGGCTTAGTTCAAGCTGAGAAATCTTTCCCGATATCCCCCAATTTTGGCATGCCTCAACTGATTGTGTATTTATTTTGTATTTATCCTGTATCTACTAATTTTTAGACATGTTGTATCCTACAAGAGGGGAGGGAATGACTCATTTTTAAAATGTATATTGCCAGCGCCAAGCAGAGTGCCTGATGTCTAACAGGTACTTAATGAATTGATTGTTAATTGATTGATTGATCTACATCATTGGAGAGATTTTCCATACAGAGAAATCCCCACAGGAATCAAATCACAGTCACTTCCACCCTCCTAAACCAAAAGAATGTCACAGCTAAATCACATCCCCTATCACACGCTCTACACTGCGCTAAGAAAAGTTCTAGAGAAAATGAAAAATCTTTGCATAACAAGCCAGAAAAGTTTATTAGATCTTCCTCCCACTCCCACACCTCATTCCAATAGTCATAGCTATGGTCGCAGGGGTGGGGAGCCTGTGGCCTCAAGGTCACATGTGGGCCTCTAGGTCCTCAGGTGTGGCCCTTTGACTGAATCCAAACTTCACAGAGCAAATCCCCTTAATAAAAGGATTTGTTCTGTGAAACTTGGACTCAGTCAAAAGGCCTTACACAAGGACCTAGAAGGCCACATGTGGCCTCGAGGCTGCAGGTTCCCCACTCCTGGCACCATCCTCTTTTATCTCAGTCAGATGAAATTTTTCTTACAGGGTTTAGAAAAATGCAGTTTCCAGCTAATTTGTTATCATTGCCTATCAAGATTAAATTTCCCAATAAATATTAAGGAAAGACAAATAGTGTATAATGCTTATGTATCCTGTGTATTGCTTCATTCTAAAGTAAGCAACTCCCATCTCCCACCTCCCTTTGAGTTTTTTATTCCAGTCCTATCGTTACACTTAAAGTTTCCTGTATACTAAAGACCCTTAGGCTAAGAGTTTTTTTTTTCAGTCTTAACATATCTCCCTCCATTTTATTCTAATATTTTAATAAAATGGAGCCTTAATAAGATGGACCCCGCCATCTGCTATTAAATTATCATCTTTTCCTCATTTCTTTAGTTCTCCTTTTTCTGTTCTATCCCAGGCACAGATAATCCCTCTCCTCAGAACTCTATTTAGGGAAAGGGAATAGTGAGAGAGGAAATATAAGCTCAGGGAGAACTTTGTGGGGGTACAATGGTGGAGTGAGTAGCATCTCTGCTACCTATTTGTTTTAATTATTTTTAATTTGCTAATTAAGTACTAAATTCCAGTTTTACTACTTTACTGAAGGAATATAAATGGCAACAGCCTTCTAAATTTTGATGGCCTGAGATAAAGGCCTGTTCATCCCACTCCATTTACCTTTATGTTCAGAGCTCACCAGGTACATTATTGGTCTTTCTATTCTTGAACTTAAGCTAGTTCTTACTGAAGCTTACTTTAGCATCATCAGCCCTGCAACTAGTTTAAAATCTTGGTCACCGTAACACTACTACACCTTGTATTTATTATAATGATTTATGGAGTCATCAAGTCCACTGCAGGCAATCGACCCCTATAGTGCTCCACCCCCCCCTGACTTCCAGTAGATTGACACAGTGAGATCCAAGCTCTCCAGTTATTCTTTCTCCTGTTAAAAGTAAAGCCAAGTAGTACTGTGCTTTCCCCAACAGGATTAGGATAGGCCAAAAATCTCTAAAGCATTTAGGATCAGTTTAGTAATGAAATGGTATTAGAGTCAGCAGCTCTGAGGGTTTGCAGGTACAAAGATCTTCAACAGAGAGCAGGTTGAGGAAAGCTAAGTAAGTGATAGGTAAAGTTACTACTTTGGGTAAATCTTTTAATCTTCCTTTGCCCTAGTTTCCTTCTCTATATAAAGAAGGGTTAGACTTTATGTCTTCTTTTCCAACTTTAAATCTATGATCCTATGATCCCTGTTTTTCTTCCCTGCCCATTTATGGAGAAACAATCTTAAGAATCATAAAAAACAATGCTCCTGAATTAACTAGAAACTGAATTTTTGAAAAGGAAACTGGATGTTGCCATTGTCAGCAGAGACAAATTAGGAGGCAAAACTGATGGTACTTGCAACGGATACTTAGGTAGAGTTATTGAGATTATTTAAGTTCCTGCAATGATGAGAAGTTAAGTTGGCTTTGAGGCACAAATTGCTTTGTCTCTGGGGCTAGGGTAAGGGAAGGGAGGGATAAGTTAGTAGAAGAGCCATAGCTACAAGAGTGGGAAAATGAGAGCTGAAAAAGTTTACTCACTTTAGACATTCTGGATGTTCACTAGTGAAAACGTTATAAGAATATATCATTTTTTCCAACTATATGTAGACTCACCACTATCTGAGATGAAAAGATATTCATTATTAATACTATTTATTTCAAATTTATCATAATAAAATGAATCATTCAACTTTAATCCAAACTGTTTTCACTTGATAAAAGTATCTGTTCTAAGTGGGGTCAAGGTAATGGACTGATTCTATTAAGCCCCATCTTTACACTCTCTCTTTCTTTGCTTTTGTAGATACACACACACACACACACACACACACATATGTATATATCACTAAGTAGTCTTATGTGGCATTTTAAGATCAAATGCTGTTATATCTGAATCTTCTATACAGTTGAGTTATTTCATATGTTGAGGGACTTTGCTCAAACTAGTTGGACACCAATTAATCATCTTAAACAGCTATTTTTCCTTGTGCATGCCAGGAATAAATATCACTGGGACCACAGATGAAAAAGCTATGGCTTTATCTCATGGAAACTTTGACACAATGGCAATCATCTTTCATGATGTGTTTTCATATGAGTTGAAGTCATGGGGATACAGAGTTCCATATTTTAAAGAACATCATGAACATTCAGGTGACCTTCCTTTTGGCTAATTATTCTGATCTTGTGGCTATTTTTTTTCTTAAGCCAGGGAGAATTATGAGGGGATGAAGTATATAAGAGCAATGATACCAACAGTATAAATGTATAATGTACATTCCACTCTTGAACTCAAGTAGCATGCATCATTATGAAAATAAAGAATATCTTCCTATAAAAGTATAACTCTCAGTGAACAAGTTTCTATGAAAGTGTATTTATTTTTCTTCCTAACTTCATTATGTCTTCTTGATAGGCATGATTTGAGAAAATCAGATTAACCTTGATAAGCATTTCCTTTGGTTCTCTATTCCTATGCTATTTTAATACTTTCATTGTAACAATAATTATTTTTGATTGTGTGGTCTTTGGTTTTCAGCCTTTATTTTTCTTATTTGTACTTTTCTCAAGTGCTATTTGCTTTAATTCTCTGTGGTTGAATCTGAAAGATATATCCTTTGTAAAGATAAGTTTCTCATTTTGGATTATGTCTACTACTGGAATGGTTACTACCAAATGGTAATGGTAATAGTACCCTGCCAAGTGTAAGGTTCAAAACTAGATTTCCCCCCATAAGAAGAATTTAGCTAGCTGATTCTCAAAATACTTTTACTGAGGAAGCAGATAATTATATTCTTATTACCAAAAGAATATCTGTTTACAAAGACAGTAAATTCAACCTCTAGAATTATTATATAAGTAAAAGGACTCACATGCATTTTAAAGAGCCACTTGAGAATCACATGGCATTTTCTATCAGTATTGTTTCTTTTGCTACCTAACATAATGCTACTAAAATTTTTACCTACTTGCGAAGACAGCTTCAAACTTCTTCTCACCTCTACCTGTTTCAGCTGTACTGGGGCTGTTAAACCAGCAGTATTAGAGTCATACTGCATCTAACTTATAAGTTTGGAACTAGATGTTAATTCCAACACCTTAGCCAATACCTCTCTAGCCACATCCAACCAGTACAAGGAGATTCATGTCTACATGAAAGAGCTGGTTTTTCTCCTTTTTTTCCTTCCTTTTCCCCAGGTTAATTTTATTTCATAATGGACTTATAATTGATTTTAATCTATTGAGAAAATAATTCAAGTATTGAATAGTCAGACAAGATGACTACTTGAATAAGAGACAGACTGCCCATTTACCTATTCCAGCAAAAACCTAAAATTCATACCATCCTCAATAACAATCAAGAAATTCAGTGATTTCTACAGTAAGTGATTTCTTCCACTCCTGAAGTAAACAAAGTCAGCTAGAAATTAATAGATAATCGGAAAGGAGGCTGCCAATGAAGCCAGTACCAACAATACAGATAAACAAGCCAGTAACCTACCAGCATGGCCAAAGATAAGCTACAGCCACATATATCCTATAAGATTCTGCTCCTTGAAGTAGCAACCGAAGATGATTCTCCCCAGAAACCCTTAGGATAGTCAGGAAGCCTTAGAGATGGGCAGTGACTACAGAGAGATGGCAGCACATGAGCCCATGGCCATGGGTTCTGAAGTACCTAGCACTCTGTTCTGAGATGATAGAGAAGGCTCTGAAGATCCATCATTCTAAACCTCAAATATCCAGAGAATAGGGGGCTAAACCCAGGAAGTGAAAGTCAGTCCAAGAACCCAGGGAACCCAGGTCAAGACTAAACAAGGTGGACCAGCTGTCTTGAAAGTATAGCAGTGAGTAGATGCTTGGCTGCAATTCAGTAACTAAAACTTGAGGGGTATATAAACCAAAGAAGTCTTCTACCAGTACAAAATATTGTCGTAGATCTAGAGATCTCCCAAAAGGAAAGAGTAACTCTGCAATAACTTTAAGAAAAAACTCAAAGGGAAAAAATAATTTTACATAAAAAGTACATAAATACCTAGAAGAAATGAAGAAGCAATAAAAAATGAAATACGATCTCCGAAGGAAAGAATTAGGAAGAGGATAAATAGCTTAGGAGAGAAGGTATAAATCTCATCCAAATTATGAAATATTTGAAAACTAGAAAAGACCAACCAGAAATCAATGACTTCATGAGATAGCAAGAAATATTAGAACAAAATCAAAAGATTGAAAAAAATTTTAAAAATGTGAATTATCTGATATTAAAAACAACTGATGGGGGCAGCTAGGTGGTGCAGTAGATAGAGCACCAGAACTGGAATCAGGAGGACTCGAGTTCAAATCTAGCATCAGACATATAACACTTACTAGCTGTGTGACCCTGAGCAAGTCACTTAACCCCACTGCTCAGCAAAAACAAACAAAACAAACAAACAAAAAACTAAACTAGAAAAAAGATCAATAAGAGATCATTTAAGAATCACTGGACTTCTTGAAAACTATATATATTTTTGGGAGTGGGAAGTGCTTAATGCTATATTTCAAAAAATCTCAGGTGAAAATTATCCAGATCTATTAGAATTAGAAGGCAAAATGAAGATAAAAAGAATCAGCGGATCATCTCTGTAATGAAATCCCAAAAGATTAAGTCCCAGGAATGTTGTAGTCAAAATTCTGGGCTTTTACATCAAATAAAAAATACTACAATGTTATAAAGAATAAATACCAGAAAAAATAGTGTACTTACCAAGGAACTACAGTCAGAATCACCCAAGAACTGGCAGCTTCTGCTATAAGTGAAAGGAGATTTTGGAATATAATATTCCAAAAAGCAAAATATCTGGGCAAAAATAGCTTACTTTATGAAGCTGATTTATGATATTATAGGAGAAAATGAACCTATAATGAAATAGAGAACTTTAAAGCATTTCAGATAAAAATATTAGAGCTAATTAGAAACATAGAAATATAAACAAAAGACTACAGAAGAAGCTATGATAATGATATAGTGCCAGCTTTCTAATAGGTAGAGAAGAAATAAGTGTCCCTTTGGAACCTTAATATTTTCAAAGAGCATTAAAAGAGTTAAACAAGAAAAACAGAGTTCCTTGAAGTGGACTGGTTATGTTTCTGAGCATTTGAAGAGGGAAAAGTGACGGGAGGATAAAAGGAATGTAATAATGTAGAAAAGAAGATGAGGGCACAACTTGCTATAAAGACAGGTAGGTGGCATGTGTTCCACATATCTGGAGTCAGGGAGACATGTTCAGACACTAGCTCCTTAGACATTTACTATCTGTTGACCCTGGAGAAGTCATTTAATTTCTGTCTGCCTCAGTTTCTTCAACTGTAAAGTTGTGATAACACCACCCACTCCCCAGGCTTGTTGTAAGGATGGAATGAGATAATATTTATAAAGTGCTTATAAACCTTTAAGTGCTATATAAATGCTAATCATTATTCTCATAATTGGGGTGAGTGAGAATAGGATAGAAATATGCGGAATGGGGGTACAGGCATCATATTAACCTCATTCTTGCCTGAAACAGACAAAGGAGGGTTGAACACATATATACATGTACACAGTTAGGTGTAGAAATACATTCCTGTCAATGGAAAAATATAAAGAAAAGAGAAGGGAAAGGAAAGGAAGGAAAAGGAAGGGAATGAAAGGGAAGGGAAAGAAAATGAAAGGAAATAATTTTAGAGGATCATGAGCAGTATGAACTGGTACAGAGCAAAGTGAGCAAAACAAGAGACGAATTTATACAAGGAAAACAACACTGTAAGGAAAAACAATTTTGAATGATTTAAATCAACAAGCCATATTTCCAAAGGCCTTATGATTAATCCCTGTTACCTGTTTCATTACCAAAGTGATGGACACAGGCACAGAATGAGACACGCATTTTTGAATACGAACATGATTCATTGTACATAATTTTGCTTTATTTGTTACAATAGATTTTTTCCCTTCTTTCTTTCTCTCAGTTTTTAGTTGAGGGAAGAATTTTGGGGAAGGGAGGGGACAGTTAGCAATAGTAATACCAAAAAAAGAAGAGGACCATTGAAACATTTTTTTTAATGTGCTGAAGAGAAGTATGTTCAGAAGGAAGCACAGACAAGTGGCACAATTTTTAAAGTAACATGTGGAATTTATGATATACCTTTTTAAGAGAAGAAAACAGTACAAAATAGAGATCCACAGTCTCATGTAGAATCCTTTTGTTGCATGTATTCTGCTGTGCAAGTAAAAATGCTCTCTGCTTTTTAGTTTTCAAATTCAGAACTAAAAAAACCCCAACAAACCAATCTTGACCAAATTGGACAAAAGGGAAGAGGTTTTTGGGTGGATAGGGAAGACATTATGGGCAGGGAAGCTATATTTATTTTAAATTTTTGAAAAATCTGTCATGTGCATGCTTTGTGATTTCCCGCTTCTTCCTTTAAACTATACTCCCACCACTTTTAATAATGAAACCGCATCCCTTAGCAAATAATGTAAAGACAATTCATTAAATATGGTCTCAGCTTCCAGCATTTTTTAACTCTGTGCCCCAAAGGAATTCATATACCATCAAACCCCTAAAAAGAATCAAACTATTTTACTTTTGACCACCCTAACATATTTTATTATATAATGTACCTGTACATAACAAAACTGTTTTAAACCATGTAAGTTAAACCAGAGTTAGCTGATGGCATAATGGATAGAGCACAGGACCTAGAGTAAGACAGCAAGACCTGAGTTCACATAGACTTCAGACCCTTACTAGCTGTGTAACCCTGGGCAAGTCACTTAACCTGTATTTGCCTCTGTTTCCTCAACTCTAAAATGAGAATAATAATAGCACTCACTACCTTGCATGGTTATTGTGAGCATCAGATAAGAAAAATATTTGGAAGAGGGCTTAGCACAGTGACTAGCATACAAAGCACTATATGCATGTTCATTCCCTTTCCTTCCTTATATAGAAAAGGTTCTCCGCAGAATCAGAGCAAAATGTCTATTCTTGATCTAATCCTAACCCATATTGATGTTTTTGCTTCTGTTTAAAGCACATTGTACAGAATATTTTGAAGAAATCAGTTGTTCACTTGAAAGATATTGGGAAAAGGGTTTTGTTGCTTTTCAAGCTGCCATTAATTCTGCTATTATAGAGGTAAGTATCAAATTTTAAGAATCTTAATGATTAACATAAATTATACTCTGACCATGCCATTTTCTTGCTCACTAATTGCTGTTGCTTCTAGGATGAAATCTTAACTCCTCATTCTGGAATTATGGGCTTTTCATAATTTGACCCCAACTCATATATCATGTTTATCAATGTATATTGTGTTTCAGTGAAACTCAACTACCAGCTGTTCCACAAATTCAATATGCAGTTTCCTGCCCCATAGGCATTTTCCCATCCCTGAAAGACATTTCCTCCCCTTCTTCTGCCTTTCAAAATTCTTCTCTTCTCTTGAGGCTAAGCTCAGATGCTACTTCTTCCATGTGACATTCCCTATTTCCATGAAAGTATTTTTCCCTTACTAGAATATTCCTAAATTGATTTGTCTCTCCCTTTTCCCACCCCCCTCCATGCCTGCCTTGACCTCTTCACTCCCTACCTCCCAGTAGAAAACAATTTAAAGAAAGAGATCATGTGGGTTTTATCTTTGTATACCCAGTGACCTATAGGTAAGAAGGTGCTAATCAATGTTTGCTGAATGTGTTTACTGGACAATGTTAAGCATAGCCTACGTCTAAATTGCTCAATTATTAAAGAATATAACATGTGTGATTACTAAAGACCAAGAGAAATAGAAGAATGGAAAATTTCTTCATAGCTATTCAATGGTTTAAAATGTTGATTTTTTTTATGTTGATATGCCACTTTAGATCACAACAAACCATTCTGTGATGGAGCAGCTAATGTCAGTCCATGGTATAAAAATGAAGGTGCTTCCTTTCCTTTCCCGATTTGGAATAAGTAATGATCTCATCATTTTAGCCTACATAATTTCTTTCTCACCAATGATATATTTTGTATGCCTCAATGTTACAAGAGAGAGAAAAAAGTTTAAGAAATATATGACAATAATGGGCCTCCAGGATTCAGCTTTCTGGTAAGTTATATATTTTGCTCTCAAATAATATGAATAAATAGGAGCCTGGAGCTAACTAGAAACCAACAGTTCATGTTTTCTAGGATTATGATTTAAACTTCATATGTTTAACATATTGGTAACTTTTAAAAAATATGTTCCTACAATTTAACTAGTACCTATGTCCACCCACATGCATAGGGAGTGGGGTCATGTAGTGGATTGATTTATTTTTCTTCCAGAACAGATAATATGATTTTTGCATATTCTGAATAAGATTCAGCAATATGAGAGAAACAGAACAATAATATTGGACCATATTGATATAAGGGCCTAACAAGAATCTTTGTGCTATATGCATTTTCTTACACATTAGAGTATTGTATATGTGTATACAATTTAAAAAGATTATGAGGAAATGGTCATGTAGATTAACTATACCTCATTATCAATAATGACTTGAATGTAAGATGTGGTATAAAAATAGTCACTAAATGACTAGAAAAAGACATGGGTTAATCATAAAAGGAGATAAAATATAACCCCCCACGTCATATTCATATCCATGAAATATTAGAACACCTAGAGAAAGACCTTCAGGGTACTGGGTAAATACTGAATGGAAGATATATTAGAAGACCTCGAATGTATCAGGATAGGTTGTAGAATTGGGACTTTTTAGCCTCAACAAGGTAAAGCTAAGGAGAGTGTTAATGAATGAATCAGTGAATAAATCAATTAAAGAAAGAGTATTGCTAAGTGTTAGAGTTACAAATACCAGAAGAAAGACAGTTACTGATGTCAATGAGCTGATGTTCTAGTAAAGGAAGAAAACTGTGAAAAAAAAAGTAAGCAAGGAAAGATATTTGGGACGGGAAAGTCAAAAGGATGGTGAATAGAGTCATAAAGTCAAAAAATTATATAACTTTAAAGAAATGCAACTGGGTGTTGTTTCTGTTTTTGGCGATGTCAAACTTTTGCAACCAAATAGCAATAATAACTCATGCTCTAATTGTGCTTTATTAAAATACCATGTGCTTTCCTTATAACAACCTCATTCCCCAACTCCCCCCTGCCAAGGTAGGTAGCATGAGTATTATTACCATTTGACAAATGAGGAAACTGAGCCTTAGGATTTTTCATAGTATCTAGTATCTAAATCACAGTATTATAGTATCTAGTATCTAGAACTGGAAGGAATCTTAGAGACTACCTTGTCCAGCCCTCCCATTTTTACTCCCATTTGAGTAAATCGAGCCTCACAGAGATTAAGTAATCAGTCCAGCAGTAGCAACAGAACTTAAATCTGAATATAGGTCCTTTGACTTTAAATCTAGTGTTCTTTTCACTACAGTGGACTGTTTTTCCCTCCATAGACATCATCTTTGGAGGTTCTAAATTTAGTCTGAAAAAGCTGCTGTTGTTCAAAGACATATTTGGAACTCCTCATGGAGGCAAAGGAAGAAAGTGCTTTGTAGCTTCACTCTCTTGATATGTATAACATCATATTAGAATTACCCTCCATTTTGGTGTGAACTGAACAAATCACATCCTTGCCCCACATATGGGATCTTTTCTCCCCTCCTCCCAGTCCATTTTCAAGGCTTTTCATAACATATTTGCAATATCACCAGTGTCCTTAACACTACAATGGTTACAAGATGTAGCAAAACCAGGATGACTTCCACTTCCAGAAACCAAGGTGACAGAGTAAGAAGTAAGTCACTCTAACCCTCCTTTATCAATCTCTGAAAGCCCGGAAAATATGACCCCAGGAAAAACCCTGGAACAGCTGAACCAGAAGAAAGATGGGGAGCAGCAGTGCAATAACCAGGTAGCTTGAAGGGATTAATGAGAAAGGTCCCTCTTGCCCTGGGGGAGAAGGAGCAGTACAGAATAGAGGCATCCCAGCAAGCTAGTGGAAAGCCTCACCTCAGCATACCAGGAGGAGATCCTGAAACCCGGGTGGTGGAGCAGGCAAACACCAACCCCAAGTGCCTCAGTGAGGGTGGGGGAACCAGTGGAAACCAGCCTGGAAAACCACCAGATGCCTCAGCATTCTACAACAGTCTCCCAGTGCCTCAGCAGAACTCTGTGAAGCGCACCAAGGGGCCCCAGGTAGATAAACATCCTGCAACATCCATCTGAAAGGAGCTGAAGAAAGCGAAAGGAAAAGAAAAGCAGGCAACTTCCAAGGGCCAGACTACCCAATCCTACCCATAGAGTTCAAGTGTTGCTGATTCTAGCCCAACACCGGGTAAGCTGCCAGAATCCTACAACCTCCAACTGCCAACATCGGAGGCCTCAGTGCACAAAGCCAATGACTGGGCCCAAGGCTCCCAACACAAGAAGCTTGGGTCAGTGCCCTCTGCTCCCCAGAAGGAGAGTTTAAGCTCTTTAAAGTCCAGGAAATAAGCAAACACCATGAGCAAAAAGAAATGTACCATAGTTTCATATTATGAGAACAGTAAAGATCAAGGAAGAAATTCTGAAGAGGATAGCATTGTCAACAAACCCACATCTGGAACCTCAAAAGGGAATATGAACTGGTCTAAAGCCCAAAAAGCCTTCTTAGAAAAGCTCAGGAAGGATTTTAAAAGTCAAATGAGAGAGGTAGAAGAGTCCCTAAAACACACAATTGGCCAACTAGAAAAAAACAACTGAAGAAAACAAATCCCTAAAAAAAATACAATTGGCCAAATGGAAGAGGAGGTACAAAATCTAATAGAAGAAAACAGTTTGTTAAAAAGTAGAATTGGACAAATGGAAGCTAATGACTCTATGAGAGAGCAAGAATGAAACAAAAGCATGAAAAAATAGATAAAAATGTAAAATACCTCGTTGGTAAAACCACTGACCTGGAAAATTGATCCAGGAGAGACAATGTAAAAATTATTGGTCTACCCAAAAATTGTGATGAAAAAAAAGAGCCTGGACAGTATCCTTCAGGAAGTCATCAAGGAAAACTGCCCTGAGATCCTAGAACTAGAGGGTAAAATAGCCATAGAAAGAATCCACTGATCACCTCCTGAAAGAGATCCCAAATTGAAAATGCCAAGGAATATAGTATCCAAATTCCAAAATTACCAGGTCAAAGAGAAAATACTGCAAGCAGCCAGAAAGAAACAATTTAAATATCATGGAACCACAGTCAGGATTACACAGGACCTTGCAGCTTCTACGTTAAAAAGACTGTAGGTCGTGGAACATGATATTCCATAAGGCAAAGGAGCTTGGATTATAACCAAGGATCAACTACCCAGTGAAAATGAATATGATCTTTCAGGGAAGGAGATGGATATCCAACGAAATAGGGGACTTCTAAACCTTCCTGATAAAAAGACCAGAGTTCAACAGAAAATTTGATCTTCAAATACAAGACTCAAAAGAAACATAAAAAGGTAAATGGGACAGAAAGATACATTTTATTAATAAGAGCAAACTGTTTACATCCCTACAAGGGAAGATGGCACTTGTAACTCTTGAGAGCTGTATTGTTATTACACCATGTTAAAGAAGTATACATAAAGGGGGTGAATATAAGTTGATGATGTAATGATAAAAAAAATAAATCTAATCAAGTAGGTTAAATGGATCCAAGTAAGTGGATTAATCTGATCTAAGAAAATGTACCAAGAGAAAAGGAAAGGAGGAGGCAGACAAGGGTAAATTACATTACAGGAAAAGGCACAAAAACCTACTACAATAGAGGGAAAGAAGGGAGGGAAATGAGCATTGTTTGAAACTTACTCTCATTAGATTTGGCTCAAAAAGGGAATAACATAATCAGTTAGGTATAGAAATCTATCTTGCCCTATAGGCAGTAGGAGGGAAAAAGGAAAAGAAAAGGGAGGGGAGGATAGAAGAGAGGGAAGAAGTAGTAAGGGTAAAGGGGAAGAAAAGGGAAGGGGCTAATAAAAGGGAGGAGGGACTGAGGGAGGCAGTGGTCAAAAGTAAAACACTAGTGAGGAGGGAAAAGGAGAAAACATAAAGAAAAGCATAAATAGGGGGGGAAAGGATGGAAAGAAAGACATAGATAGCAATCATAACTGTGAATGTGAATGGGATGAACTCTCCCTAAAACAAAAGTGGATAGCAGAATGAATTAAAAACCATAATCCTACAATATTTTGTTTACAGGAAACACATTTGAAAAAGAGCAATATACATAGGTAAAGGTAAAAGGCTGGAACAGAATATATTATGCTTCAGCTGAAGTAAAAAAAGCAGGAGTAGCAATCCTGATCTCTGACAAAGCAAAAGCAAAAATAGATCTTATCAAAAGAGATAAGGAAGGAAATAAGCAATGGAAATTATATGGAATGAAGGGCCATGGAAAGATAGACTAAAAAATAATTGGAAACTAATTAATCTAGTCCTAAAAAAATGGTTGGGTCAAACAATAAATCATAGAAACAATCAATAACTTCATTCAAGAGAATGACAATAATGAGACATACCAAAACTTATGGGATGCAGCAAAAGCAGTTCTTAGGGGAAGTTTTATATCTCTAAATGCATACATGAATAAAATAGAAAAAGAGGAGATCAATGAATTGGGCATACAACTAAAAAAAATAGAAAAAGAACAAATTAAAAATCCTCAATTAAACACCAAATTAGAAATATTGAAAACCAGAGGAGAAATTAAGAAAATTAAAATTAAGAGATCTATTGAACTAATAAATGAAATTAAGAGCTGGTTTTTATGAAAAAAGCCAACAAAATAGATAAACCTTTGGTTAATTTAATTAAAAAAAAAGAAATAAGAAAACCAAAATACCTGTATCAAAAATAAAAAAGGTGAATCCACCACCAAGGAAAAGGAAATTAAAACAATAATTAGGAACTATTTTGCCCAACTAGATGCTAATAAATTTGACAATCTTAGTGAAATGGATATTTACAAAAATATAAATTGCTCAGATTAACAGAAATGGAAGTAAAATACTTAAATAACCCAATCTCAGAAAAAGAAATTGAACAAGCCACTGATGAACTCCCTAGGAAAAAAATCTCCA